AACTTTGTACCGCATGGCCATATTTTACAATCTCGGTGCGTGTGATGTTATAGTATAGTAAAACTTTATTTAACCACGCTTCCCTCATCACCCATGGATGATTTTCATGAGGGGCGTCACACAAATTACATTCTAAAAACTAATATAAATTAAATATGAAATAGAATAACTCAGAATAACAATATATATATATATATATATATATATATATATCTATATATACATACAAGTTAAGAAAGGAGGAGCTTAATAAAAGTCAATTGTTTTCTGTCATGCAAAGACAAAACTCCGAGTGAATATTGAATCTCCGTAGTTTACCAGTTTTCCTGTTCTGGTTGCAAAAGCTCGTATATATTGGAAAAACAGATCGTTGCCTTTTCACTCGCCTTAAAGAACACAATAATCGCAAAAGTTCAGAAATCAATGCTCACATTAAATTAACTCTTGCCGGTGAACACTTCCAACACATCAAAACCCTAATGGAACTAACGCCTGATTCTACTGAAACTATAAACACTAAAACAACACAACATATATACTTGATAACTGTAAGATAATTGATAGATCTTATAAAGTTGTATCTTTTTACTTAGACTGATATAACTCTTAATACTATGAACTCAAACTATAACTGTGCTATTCAATAACATTCCTAGTGTCCTGCTTCATGTGTCCATTTCCACGTGACCTAGCTCATGTTTCCCGCCTTTATGCGGGTTACTTATTAACTGAACATTACAGATCTGATCACTGGTCTCTATACTATTATATAAAGAATCCCTTGCAATTCGCAGAAGAAAACCAGAACTCAACCACGGCACCAAGGCTTCAAAGGAATTGATCATATTTCGGTGACACTATTAAGCTCCTCCTTTCTTAACTATATTATATATATATATATATATATATATATATATATATATATATATATATATATATATATATATATATATATATATATATATATATATATATAATTAATTAAAGTTCTCCGGATTGAAATATACTTTTATTGAGCTTTCGACTCGGTACTTCGAGCCTTCTTCAGAATACTGAGATTAAAATTACATATGTACATTATTTAATTAAAGTTTAATTGCGGTGTTGCTACGTCCTTGTATACGTCGAGACCGTCTACAATTACGGTCTCGACGTATACAAGGACGTAGCAACACCGCAATTAAACTTTAACTTTAATTAAATAATTTACATATGTAATTTTAATCTCAGTATTCTGAAGAAGGCTCGAAGTACCAAGTCGAAAGCTCAATAAAAGTGTATTTCAATCCGGCGAACTTTAATTAATTATAATATGCCTGGATTACAAATTAATATCCAATCATGATTCTGGTTAAACAAATGTTCTGCCGAATACAACACACAACAGCAATTTTCTGAGGATTTGGCCTTTTCTTGTTGATATGTAGAACTAAACCCGAGACTGTGTCGTTGAGTGAGCGTCGAGAAGAACATCTATCGTCTCTATTAACGTTTTTAAGAGTTTAATTTCAAACGTCCAGCCAGGCCTCATTAACAACTTCGTCCCTTACAATAACCGTTATGACGTATTTTATGAAAATACCAATCTCGAAACCAGAGCCCGCAATCCTCTGTGGAGGCTTGCTGAGGCTCTGGGAAACACCGGTGAAAGTCGAGCTCTGATTGGTTGTTTTTTAACATCTTCGTCCCCAGGCCCAAGCGGCCCTCGAAGTTTTTCAAGTGCGAATTATTATTCAAACTTTGAGCCGTATTTAGTTATTCGGATTTCAAACATCGTTTAAAATTAATATAAAGTTTATTTCTCTTTGTGTATTATGTTTAAACATATCAATGAAACACACAGCATAACATTAATCAAACTTATTATTATAAAATCAAAAGACTATTCTATTTCTGATATTGATATGCTATAAATAACACAATTAGAATAACAACAGTGCAGCATTACCATATTAGGTCATGATAAGCCGTTGCCTGTAAGATTTAAAATACTACCATTTTCGAGCTTCCGTGAAGCGTGCATTTATAACTAGGTTTTAAAACGTTTCTTCAGCATGAGTTTGTCATTCAAAACTTTTTATTTCGTTCCTAAAACATTTTGTTTTGACATAATAACTTCTGTGGGCGTGGTATAAAACATATTGTTTTGCACGCGAAACTTTGAATTTCGGCGTCAAAACTCAAAAGGGCACTTGTATTACAGAGGTTTGTTACGTAAACATATCCAGAAGGTGCTATAAATCTGTTATTTCGCTTTCTATAGCAATTTTGTCAGTATAAAGTCAGTCCGTGTGAAAAATAAGAAGAAATTTTCGCGTGCAAAACAATGGCTTGACACCACGCCCACAAAAGTTATTATTGCAAAGCAAAAAGTTATGATTGACAAACTCATGCTGAAGAAACGTTTTGAAACGTAGTTATAAATGCACGCTTCATGGAAGCTCGAAAATGGTAGTAACACAACAATCCATGATTTACCGTAATTAAACAAGATAAAATAAATCACTACCAGTATCCTACAACAGTTCAAAACCATGGCAAGTGTTCTTTGAAGAATTAAAGTCGTAATAAATTTAAACAACGGCATAATTCATTGTTTGACGGCAGTAATGTCTATTTATAAATGTCGAGCGGAGTACTGGATCCAAATGTACTGATTTTCGTGCAAAAGTCGCTGGTGTTTCCCAGAGCCTCAGCAAGCCTCCACAGAGGATTGCGGGCTCTGGTTTCGAGATTGTGAAAATACATGCCAATAAAAACTTCGTTTCATGGTATTATTCTTTGTGTTGCTTTATTCACACTCCTTGTATTGTTTTGAACTCGAACGCCACATTTACCTTACCTACCCTATAAGTCCCAAATGTTATCTCCCAAAATCTGGGAGACACGCGACCAGCCTGGACCAGGGTCTTTCCTCCAGCGAGGCGCGTAGTGGAAAGTGCCTGGGTACGAGGTTGAACATAAAATATCATAAAATAATATAAATTCTTTTTCTCAACAGATTTTCACTGGAAACACCGATAAAACAACGGTTGTGACTAACGCTTTCAAAAATCCAATCCATGCTCGTTATGTCAAAATTTTACCGCAGTTATTTGTTATCAGGCCATCTTTGAGAATGGAGCTGTATACCAGCTGTGCCACGAACTAAGAAAACTATTCGTCCTGTGCAAAGGAATCTGGAAGACGGCAAAATTTTCACTTTGGAATCTATTGCACTGAATCTGTAATCGACACAGTAGGATCCGGAATCCAGTTTGTTAGTGTAATCCGGAATCCAGTTTGTTAGTGGAATCCAAATCCAGATAAATCTAGTGATTTTTATGACGATAGAATCCAGAGACCACTAGTTAGTATCTGGAATCTACGAGTCGAGATCAGGAATCCACGAATACAGGGCAAAACAATATAATTTTCTTCAAACTTCCTTCGTTTTAAATTTTTATTAACTGTTAGTTTGTATTTTCCAATATTATATTGTGCATATACCGCTCTTTTAGTGACTTTAAACCATGCAAGAAATTCCCAAATGTTCTCCAAAGGTTTCTCGAGAAGCATAACCAAGCATTTCTAAGCACAACACTATAAAAGCATGATAATTTCTAAGCACAAGAATTAAAGCATGATGATTTCTAAGCATGAGAAAGCATGATTTTATGAGTCACTAAATGTCTGTCAGGAAATGAGTAAGTCACTGTAATAGTTTAATTGTTCCTTATATCAGTGTTTTGACTTTATATTTGTTGCAAATGCACGAACTGGTAGAGTTAACAGTGCCTCAAACAGCTCAACAGTGCCTTACATTTAACAGTTATTCTACGAACTCGAGTCGAATATGAGCTGATAGCCGATGAGGCGCGTAGCGCCGAATCGGCTATCGCTCATATTTGACGAGAGTGAGTGGAATAACTGTTTTATTATATACACAAGGTCTGAATTCACAGACTTTGCTTTTCGAATATTTTCAATATTTTTCTATTTTGTTTATGTTTTTATCTTCGCTCTTTCGGCCGATTATTTTTTCAAAAATATATATTTTTAACCATTTTAGATATTAAAAATTTATTTGCTAACCTGAAAACAATTTGTGGGAGTTTTTTTATTGTATTTTTAATCCTGTGAAGGCTATAAAAAGCGACAACTTGCCGTTTTCTCGTTTGCAAAACATCGTAAATTCAGTTTGGCCGCCATTTTGTTTTTCTCTACTACAGGATATGAGCTAATATCCTGCTAGTAGAGAACCAATCAGATTGCAGAATACCTCATATCCAGACCTTGTGTATATAATAATAAAAATTGGCCGCCATATATACGTATTAAAGAAATCCACTCAGTGTATGGTGCTCAGGCGAGATCAGTGGCGTAACTACTATGGGCTCAGACCGGGAGAACCCGGGGGCCCTAACCTAAATGGGGGCCCCCAGGCTTAGGCGATAGAGCAAAAACATTAGTCAGGGCCTCTGATATGTTATAATGTCGTTTTATGACAATCAGAATTCTGTAAAATCTCTCCCCAAAGTCCAGGAAATGGCATTTCAGAGAGTCTAGATTCAAAAATTTTCCGGATGAGCATGCCCTTGACCCCATAGAAAACTCGTGCATATACGGCGCTCGACTCGTGCCTTTGGCACTTCTACTAGGGGGGCCTTCGAAAATTTTGAACCGGGGGCCTCCTGATATAACGTTACGCCACTGGGCGAGATATTTGGAAATGGACCTTGTCCTTATTGAGTTTAAATGGCTTTAACTGCACTACAACAGTAATATTGTATTTATTGTTACTCTCATATTTTTAATATTAATTATAAAATTCTGTCAATAACAATCGGGGAGTGGAAGATGAATATTGAATACTTGGTTCTGAAGTAGTGTGATGATATGAATATCGATTTTGGTTTCAAATATATATTCGTATTCCTACTCTTAATATTTATATATCGCTATTTGAATATTAAGAGTAGGAATATGAATATTTGAAACCAAAATTGGAATGAATATTTTCCCTCCTACGTCTTCAGGCTTTTTAAGAATTTTAAAGTAGGGATACATTTTAGAGGCAAGAATATTAAACATTTAAGGAAAAATATTAATTATTTTTCCACCCTCGGATAACAATAATTACGAACGATTTATTTTATTTCACTTTTAGTGTTCAGCTTCTTTTCTTTGTCGTGTTTAAATATCGAATACTTAATAACGAAGCATTAAGTGCATTCTGTTTTCTTTTTCAATATGTTTAATAAGATTACACGTTATCTGCTTCAAACTCATTTTGCTTCCCGAAGCGGATGTCTAATTAGTGAAGTTTGGCACCTGCATGCATATGAATACAAAGTTGTACGTACAGGAGGAAAAATTAGGGGAGCAATAAGAAATTTGCCCGACTATTTAACTCTCAAAGAGACAAATTAAGATGTTAAGTTTGTTCGTTCACTGCAACCAGGTATATCAATCATGTTTCGCTCGCTACTCTGGTTGAAATAAATGATTACAAAGCCCAGTCAAATTGTAATCAAGACCCAACGTTTCGACACTCCAGTCTAGTGTCTTCATCAGGGATGATCTAAAACTGCGATCGTGGCTTCTTAAATACCCAAGGGATGACGTCACCTGCCAAGAAGATGCATATATTCCTCTGGCAAATAGGCGCCGTCAT